CTATAAGAAGGGTTTCATGAGTAACATCTCTTGAAGACAACAAACAACTATCTATGAGTTCTACATGAACAAATTTAATTTTCTTCACTAAACGTATGCTATGTCTTTTAGCAAATTCTTCATCTAAAAAACATGTTGAGGCTCTTGAATCTAATAAGACAAAGGCTTTGTAATATTTAGGTTCTAAAATAACATTTATTATAAAACAAAAAGACGGTTCTGATGAGAAAATAGGACCTTCATTAGGTGTTGTACAAGGATCCAACTACACGGTCCCTATTGTAGCTGGAAAAACTCGTTTTTTGACATACTTTCTTTGATAGTGGTATTCCTCATTTTATAGTTGCGTCACTTTTTTTGGCAAAGTTGAACAATGTGCTTAGATTCTCCATAATATAAACACAATCCTTCTCAATGACAATGAGTCTTTTCTTGCTCAGTAAGAAGTTTGAAATGTACCGCATCAATTTGCATATCCTCTATTTCCAAATGTATGTATTAAAGAGATATTGGTGTTGCCATTGAATTATAATAACATTAAGGTCTACTTGTACGGTTCTCAAATCAAAATTCAAAAAGATTATTGTCTCACTTCATAGCAAAGTTAATTTCTTGATTCAATGTTTGAAGATCAAGTTAGTTGAGCATTAATTTTTTTTTTCTCATATTGTAATTCATAGAAAAATTGGCTAACAAATGCAACATCATCCTATTTGATATCAATTGCAAGTTGTCAAAACTATAAAACATACAATATTATTGATCAATTGCCTTATTACAAAATATAGATCTTGTTGGTTGTAATACAAATTGCATCATGTTTTTCATACATAGATCAAAAATCCACCAAAAAAACCTCCAAATTATCTAATATTGGATCTTGTTGTTTAAGAAAAGATAAAAACCATGATAATATTGAACTTGAAAGAAGCATATCAATGAATCTAACTTGTAATCTTGGAGTTGGATAGCTTTCACGTTGTTGTTCAATCACAAGTTGTACTTGATTGATAAATCCTCTAAACTTTGATCTGGTGCCATCAAACTTCTTGGGTAGGACAATTCTTGATTCTCTAATATTTGAAGAGTGTTCTACCATAAGAGAAGGGACATGATTTGGTACAAATATTGAAGCACCTCCAATCATTTCTATATCTTCACTTTCTACCAATCTTGTTGCTCTTTGTGGTGGTAAATTCAGTTGATGTATCACAAGCATTAACTCCCTCAACTACTCTTGCATTTAAGCCATTGCACTCTTCATTTTAGCAAGTTTTGCCATGATAACACTTAGAAAAGAGAAGATATCTAATATTGCTTAAGACAAATAGAAGAGAGGACTTGAGAACAAAGAAAATACTAAAAATAATATCAGTTTAGAAGAGGGTAATCTACAACTTCTAATATGCTTATGTCTTATCAAGAGAAAAGGATAATCCACTCTTAATTATTATTAGACAAAGCTCTGATATTGTAAGTGCACTCTTGTCAATGTGTCAAGGACAAGAATTTGATAAAAACAAATAAACAAGTGAAACTTTTTCTCAAAGAAAGATGACAAAAAAGAAATAACTAAATATGTATATTAAGAAAGAAACTAGAATGGCTATTGCCAAAAGACAAGAAAACTAGAGACCCTTGAAACTAAACTATAAGCAAGAAAAGAATTGACAAGAGTGAAGGAGGCTTCACTCTTGCCTCTATATATACTATCTACCTAGGAGCTATGTGGCGACGTTCTATAGGACCTCCAAAAACGTGTTGACTTTATACAACATGTATCTTAACTTGCAAGGCAAGTTTTCTACGTAGGCGCCACATAATTAGCTTGTTCTGCAAGCTACCAAAATGTGTAGCATGTAGTTAACTTGTTGATCAAGTTTCTAACCTACTAATCAAGTATAAACACATGTAAAGTCAAAGCAACATTTACGAAACTTTTAGGAAGCTTTTCTAAAAAGATATTATGAAATTAATCTACTTTTATCTACTTCTACCTATTCATATCACCTAAGTTACAATTGCAGTAATATATGTCCGTGACATTAAGTGATTATCTTTTTTTTTTTTTTTTTTTAATAACAAAAGAGTGTATTGAATCCTTGGTTCTTTGTGATTTATATCTTTGGCAAAATATGCACATGTATTATTGAATGGTTTTTAAACCAATAGTTATATTATAAATTAGTAAAATAATAATAATGATAATAATAATAATAGATATTTTTTTTGTAATTTCTAAAGCTACTGAAGTTTTAAGAATTAATTTCGAAGTCCTATCAAATTTAATATAACAATGATCTAAATTTTATACTATGTTTGTATTAAAAATAAATAAAATATCTTATTAAGATTATAAAAAGCTTTTTAGAATTAAAAAAGTTGATCTTTTGAAGCCTTCTTAACATGCTACTTATTAATAATAATAATAGAAATAATTTTAGCTTTTAGATTATATAAACTTGTTCCAAAAAAATTATATCTTTTGACATTATTGTTGCATAAAAAAATTAACTAGTAAGATTTCAGAAAATGATTCTTATATTAGTTTAAAAAATATTTTTATAATTTTTAAGTACCAAGTATAATTTTTTAGACAATATATTTTGAAATCTTTATTGCTTTTAAGTTTGTATATAATTTTAAAATCAAACAATAAATTACAAACTTCTTTTAATAAGATTATTTAAAATTTACAATACAAGATGACATAAAATACTTTAGATTTTGTAATTAGTGATAGATGTACTAAACATATAATATTCTAAAGATAATAACCATACTTTTAAAAATCAAAAATTATAAAATATATTTATTGAATAAATATTATAAAAAGATGATTGAATGCAATTTAATAATATGCACAATTCATGAAATTTAAAATATATACATATATGTAATTTTTTATGCTTATCAAATATCTGCAAAGATAAATTTTAAAATACTGGTCGTTATATAGGATAAAACTACAAAATCAAATTAAAACATGAAGCATGTATATACTGTTTCCAAAATTTTGAATGTTTTTTTTGCAATATACTTGTACTTTAAATGATATTCAAATTCTATTTTTTTCATAATGGTTTTTTCGATTTTTTGATAAACATCTTTTAAAATATTTCAAATCCTTAATAAGTAATAGATATTGCATATTGTTTTTGGAACTAACCAATCTATAGTTTTAGTTTTTCAAAGGTCTGTGAATCAACTTGCATCAAAGACAATATATTTAAAATGATCACTTGAACTTTAAGGATTGCATATCTCTTAAATATTATATGTAATCTAAAAAAAATACAAAAAATAAAAACCTTTACTAAATGAAATGTAACAATTTCTTATACTCATTAGAGTTATTCTGGATCAGCAACTGTAAAAATAAAATAACATTCTGGGTTTCTGAAAATCAGTCTTTCTTGCCATGATGCCAATTAGGTTCACTCACCTCCACTCCTAAAATGCATCTATGGACTTGGTCACATCACAGTCGGCCTCCAAGCTGCTAATTCTAATACATTGGTTTAAGGAGGGATTGTAATAAGCTTCACAACTTGTTCCTTTGATTATTTGGAGTGGGTGGGAGAGAGTTGCTTTGGGCATGTGTTGAAAAGTTAACCACCATGGCAAGACAAGTGCCAAGGGCTTACATTTGTTGGGTTTATCTTATATAGAAACTGACACTACAACTGTTGCAATTGTAGGCAATTACACAAGTTTATATAAGTTTTTAAATACTAGTAAAACTATGTCTATTATTTTTAAATATGTGTTTTTTATTCAATATTATAAACATGTTTGGTTGATTAAGTCAAATACATAACTTAAAAACAGTTGTAACCATCTTCAACACATTAAAAAAGGTATATTAACTCCACATTATAATATTTTATAATCTTTGTATTACATGGTTAATTATTTTTCAATTTTATATGGAAAGATATACATATATATAGAAACTCGTCTTAAGAATTTTTTTGATTTTAAAATGATCTAAGAAATCTAAAATTTTACTAAATATGTAAGGAGGACTTTTAAACTAGAAACCTTTGTTGAAAAGCCACCATTTAAACATTATACCAAGATTTTGTGGTTGGTGAAGAGAACAAAGTGTCAGCCAAGTATAAAGTGATAAGAGGCCATAAATTAAACTATATCATTTTTTTATTATAAATATACATAATTCAACTCATTTATTTATTCTAGCAATTATAAGAAGTATAAAATCTTCACTTCTTATATTTTACAAGAGTTCTTTTAAGCAATTTTTGACATGTCTTCTTGAATTTTTTATAAACCACCTCTTCAGATAGATCCAACAAAAAATCTAAGAGACAATATTACTTATGCCATCCATCAAAAAAAAAAAACTATCTCAATTTTTCTTCTCTTGAGATAGATCCAACAAAAAATCTAAGAGACAATATTGCTTAGGCCATCCATCAAAAAAAAAAAAAAAAAAAAAAAAAATCTATCTCAATTTTTCTTCTCTTGAGATAGATCCAACAAAAAATCTAAGAGACAATATTGCTTATGCCATCCATCAAAAAAAAAAAAAAAAAAAAAAAAAAAAATCTATCTTAATTTTTCTTCTAAAGGGTTTTGGATTTGATTCTCTAAGTATAAAGCCAACTCAATAAGGTTTTTCAATTTCAACCAATCAAAGCATTTAAAAGTTGTCACTACTCACTTGTCTCTTTAATATCAAGTCCTCCAAGTTGCTCTAAAATTACAATCACAATAATAAGAATACATATCTAAAAATAAGATAAATACATTAAATATTAATTAAATAAAAAAATTCCACAAAATTAAGTACCGGCACAGATATACTGTGATCTCCACTTCCACCTCTCCACAGTAGAAATGTTGAGGTTGTACATGATGCTTCAGTGAAGTAATCACAACTTACTATTGTTAAGATTGAACTGAGTGGTGCATTTTTAGCACATACATCGTCAAGGGTAAGTGGAATCAATATTGTTTCTAAACGAAGAGCACAATTGAACACCAAGTACCAAATGCAGTTTTATTATGTTGCAACATGGTAACAACAGGTTCCTTAGATAACTCTTCATAGTTAGCAGTAGTATTTTTACAAAGTCAAGGAGGGGCAATGAATTTGCTTCATAAGATGTAGCGAAAGTGCTCATCACCAAGAATGTCTTCGTGAAATGGGCATCTGAGATCATGCATTAAAGCGACATGCTCTATCTGTAATATCTCAGCTCTGAACTTGGAAAACTGCGACAGTGGGTGTCATCTCATCTAGGACAAGCACTGCAGATATAATCGAACACTCTCTTCTTGAACCTCAATATTTACCTGCCGAAAACTGCAGTCGAAGTGAAGAGGTGATGATGACAGGCTGGTTACCGACATAACCCAGGACGGCAATGCGACCATTTCATCGCTGTCTTGACAGTGAAAGCTCAAAAGCAGAATGCGGTTATAGATCTGTTGCTCATATTGACCCTATGAGAAGATTGGGAGCAACGACGCACATCCGAAGAGCTTGAAAACATAGCCGTTCAGTCTGATTTTCTGTACTTTTCTCACTCGGTCGTTCCAATAAATCAGATACCAAGAACGGCCGATTTCGTTGCAATGCGTGCTTGGTCACATTGTCAAGAAGCCTAATAAGATGCTGCTGTTTGCGGACCATTGGATCTACAGAGACCATGCACTCAGCTCCTGTGCCTGATTCACACGGAGCTTTAACTTCAGCTGCCTTCTCTGTATCCTCCACGTCTGTTTCTTCCAAGTGCACTCCTTCATTTTCTGATAGATAACCGTCAGGGACGACAAAGCCATCAGCGGCATCCTCGTCCAATTCAGAGTCAACCTTCTCCACGTCTTCTTCTTTGTCTTCACAGTCAGAAAGACTTTCCCCTGGATCTTCCTCTTCCCATTCCTCATCACTATCCACCTCATAATCCAGAGATGGGTCTTTCCTTAGGGGATGGCGTGGTCCAACAGTAGAACTCAGCTTGGAAAAGGTGCCATAGTAAGCTGGCCGATGACTTTTGTCAAATTGCAGCAACTTCCACCTCGTATTACATTGTTTCTTCCTAGGTGGGCTGTCGATTGGATCTTCATTCAGTAAGATGCAATCATCTTCCACTTTACAATCACGAATGCTTTCAAAATCCTCCCTACTTCGTTTCAGGCTCGGTGCCTGAGCTTCCAAAGTAGAGGAGCTCACCGCGTTTCCTGCAGACTCAACTCTCCGGGGGAAGCTCGCACTGGCACCTTGCAGCCGTAGTTCACGATACACTGTAACCTTGGGCGCCATTCGGACTCCCCATCTCCGGAATGGCTCTAAAGATCTGCGTTTCCATTTTTCTTGCCATGAAGATACATGACCGCGTAGGATCTCTTCTTCGGTTAGGGTGCAGGGTACCTTCAACCCCTCGTCCAACCGCATCACCATTTCTACTGTAGATGGCTCCGTCCTGCTGGTTGAAATGCCCTCGGGTGTCTGGTGAGCAGGAGAAGGTGATGAGACGCCCTGAGCGGGAGACTGCTTCTCGTGAGCCACGGGAGTGATAGACTCCTTACGGCGAAACAACCTATCCATAATAGTAGCCTGCTTTTGAAGAAGCAACTGTCTCTTCTTTTCAGCGACCTCTTTCTCCTTCCTCTTCTGCTCCTTCTCTACTTCCTCCTGCTGCCTTCTTAGTTCCCTCTCTTTCCTCTTGAGCTCCTTCTCTGCTTCTATAGCCTCCTTTTCCTTCCTTCTCTGCTCCTTCTCTACATCGTCCAGCTGCTTCTTTTCCTCCTCATTTTTCTTTCTCAGCTCTCGGTCTTTTCTTCTCTGCTCCTTCTCAGCTTCTTCTTGTTGTTTCTTCAGCTCCCTCTCAGCTCGAGCTGCTTCTTTCTCCGCTCGAATCCGCAGCTTCTCCGCTTTTCTCTCAGCCTTCTCCCTCTTCAATTTCTCTCTCTCAGCAGGGATACTATGTGGCTGCTTCTCTTTTGGTGTTTTCTTAGATATCACCATGCTGGGCAAGGTTAATTCCACTTCAGATCAAAAGCTACGATGGTTACGCGAGGCTGAACGTAGAACCGCAGTATCCCGTTCTAAATGCTGCTCCGGACACCTAAACACATTTCAGCCTGCACAGTGGCTATGCAACTCCCAAGTTCAACGAAACAAATCAAATCAAACCGCTACTAGCGTGAGAGACAAAAGAGAAAAATGAGAGACTCCCTCCGAACAAATCCTCAATCTAAGACTACGAGTGACAAATCCCTACACTACCCAACTTTCGCGAAACGGCCAGGATAATCTCACAAACACTCACACACCGCCTACACACTTCCAAGTCCGCTCCGCTTCCGTCCGCGAAATACTCTCGCAAACCTCGAGGATCCTTACAGAAAAAGACACAAGCCATGCAGCAACAAAGGCGAAATCGAGCACAACCACAAATGAAACCGCTATTCCCAAGCTCAGCTGGACACAATCAAGCCAGAGGAGTGGAGTCCCAAATGTCCCGGGGCGATGTGGGTGAGGGAGGGTAGGGCAATGGACTGGCGTTGGGGCGTAGAGAAGGGGCTGTTGGCGCCAGTAATTGGCGGGAGCGTGGGGGGGGTTCCCGCCACGGCGTGTCGTTCAAATCGCTATCCCTTTGCCATCTCATTTTGTGCTAGTGCAAATTTGCAAACTGTCCGTTGGAGCTCTGGAGGTGGGATTGCCATGTCATCGTGGGAGCTTTCAATACTAACCCCATCTTAGGAGTGTACTAATAAACCCACCATTTATTCCTATTCTTGCTAGTGAGGAAGGCATCACCAAAACCCTAATTTCATATATTTGAGTCAGATTCATTTCCTTTAACCTGTGGGTCATGCACAATTTGCAACAACTATCTGGCTGAATGCTTTTACGTATGTGATGCAGTGATTCTATTCATTTTTAAGTACGAAGTTGATTTTTTTATATATTTTTCCAAGGAATTTGATTAATTTCTTTTCAGTGAAATGTGTCTAGAATGTTTTGTTGGGTTTTTATGGGTAGAAGTGTCTTTATTCAAAACCATGAGAAACTTTGCAATGTATTAATTAGAGTTAAAGGTTGTGTGGGGTTTTATTAAAACACGTTAATAAAGTTTTCATTTACGACATTTTAAGTTCCTGTGTGCCTTGAGACAATAGTAGTCTTCTTTGTAGGCGTTGCTTGAATAAAGAGATAATCATGGCAACATTATTTTGGATTTTCAGTGAAATAAATACCAATGTATCAAGATTAAGAAAAAAGAAAAAAGAAAAAATAGTGATGTTTGGATTGCAGTTACCTTCAACAAAATGCATCTCAAAACCAAAAACATCTTTCATGTGTTTATTCGAGTGGCATCAAGTGAAAGTTGTGTGACCGTAAATACATATGGCAGTGTTAAATAAGATGTATACTTATATTTGAAATTCCATGTGCGAGTATTTGCAATATTATAAAGTCAACATGTTTTTTTCTAAAGAGAATCATGTCATGTTATGATTAATAAAAATATTTTAAAATTCAATATATTATATCACATTTTTAATTTCATTTCCCATGATCAATACATGTATCCACCCAATATGTACATTTTCTTAAACTATAATCCCAATAAATGAAATCTGGTTTGCATTTCGTACTAAACATCCAAACCTTCATTTGAATGAATTTCATCGTAACACAAGTAAATGAAAAAAAAAAAGACAATGGTTTTATCACTACCCCCAAGGTGACATGAAATGATTAAAGTCATCAGATGCATTATTGAAAAAAATAAAAATAAAATAATGATTAAAAACTTCCCTCAGACCACACAAAACTGTTTTTTTTTTGTTTTTTGTTTTTTTTTTCTTTTCTTTTTCCAATTATTAAACTCATTCACGAAAGAATACTCCTATAAATAAATAAATAAATGAATCGGGATGCCTGTATTTTTCCAATGTGATAACAAACACATCACTTTTGTGTTGGTTTTCCAATGGAAATGTTGGAGAAAATCGCTTAAATTGAACAGATCCACCAGCCAGTCTGGCTCCACCGAACCCACATAATTCGAAAGGAATCCACGTAATGGCTCGATTCCCACAAAATGTAAGGCCTTACAGACAGACACTTTCTTCCGACTGACTCTCGGAGTGTCGTGACGACGAGGATTTGCTAACGGAAGAGGCGCTGCCGACGAAGCTCTTTTGTTCCGTCTCCGCCAACAAATTTGTTACGAAAAAGTGAAGAGTGGGGGAGGAGGAGAAGGAAGAATAAGAGTCAAGAGGGCGAGGAGGTTGTGAGCACGACCGAGAAGCATACAAACAGACCTTGCAGGCTTTGCTCCTCTGCTTCGTGGACGGCAGAGTTGACAAATATATGCTTGGAGCGCTTTCTGGGTGTACTAGTTTATGCCCGCACCTGTCGGCTCTCATTTTGTAAGCTGTTGGATCAGTAACGGGCGGAAAGAGGGAGTGGGACCGTTTCATTGCTGCCCGCTTTCTTCATGAGCTGGTCATGGTCGTCAGAAGCCTCGGTGAGACCGTCCCAGCGAATGTCCTCGTTCCTCACAGAGAAATTCATGCACTTCCCTCCGCTTTGTTGTATCTGTGCAGCGATGCTAGGAGCAGCATGAGATGGTTCCACGGGCGGGTCTTTGTTGTTTCGGAAATTTACGTGTTCTGTTAGCTCTCACAATTTGCTGCAATTCTCACAGGCTCCAACTTTTGTACGGTAGGTTGAGCGGGTTAGGCTGGTCTTTTTGAAGTATGTGTTGAGAATTGTGATTGTATGCTCATTGTAAACCCTAATTTTCCTGATTACGAGTTTGGGTGGGAGGATGGATTCCCGAGTGCCGGGTGCGGAGAAGAAAGAGGGATGTTTTAAACCTTCGTTTTTTTCCTTTGGATCAACGTACTTTGGCGCGTTTAAATTCTTGTATTGGGCTTTCTGAAAGGGGTCACTACAGCAGAGTGGCTGGGGTTGTTGCCAACGAGTTGGCAGTCACGCCATGTAGCCCGTCCTTTTGGTTCACGTTGGTCGGCAGAATTGGAAACACTGTGAATTGACTATTTTCTATTTCCCTCCACGGCTAAGATAATATTAACTTGCGTTTTTGATGACAGCATTACCTGCTCTAATTCGTTTTACGGTGCATTCTCGATGAAGTAATACGGTCTAAATGTCTTCGCTGTGGACCCGATTGTATTCATCTTTGATGTCAAGAGGGTTTCTTTAAAACCTGGAACCAAAAAACTGGAGTGGTAACAAAGCTGGTGTCTGGAGAGGAGGCTCAAGCAGGCCCAGAAGAGGTTGGGTTTAGCCATGAGCAGCATGAGGAGGAGGGTGATGAGTATTGTTGAGGACCAAGGTGTTTACAGCAGTTCCTGTGGCTATTGTAAATCCTCCTCACGATCTAGTGTTTCGCAAGGTACACAATGTTCTTATCCACTTGTCTTCGAATATACAAATAATTAAGTAACTAAATAAACCCGGGAAAGCATTCTGGTTATTGGAGTTTTCTGCTCGCAAAGTGAATTTCAGAATATCCGACACCTGAAGGTACTGTACCTCTTTTCATGCAGGAATGTGGGCTCATACACTTACTGTGGATGATTACCAAGGTTTGTTTCTTAAGCCTGTTTGTCATGGTCATTATCTAAAAAATCCTGTATATATGATCTAAACAAATCAAATTCTCGTCGTGTGATGAAATGGACGTTTTCTTTTTCTTTGAGAAGTTTTGATAACCTGAGTTCCTGTCCTCCACAATTCCGTGTCATGCATACATAGAACTGCTGAATAGAGGATGGAGGCGATCAGGAAAGTTTCTTTACAAGCCATCAATGCACCGAACGTGCTGCCCTCCACACAGCATCCGATTAGATGCTAATGCTTTCATCATCTCAAAAGATCAGGCTCGTGTCATGCGTCGCATGCAAAGGTAAGAATCGAATGAATGTCCTTGTTCGAATGTCCCCTGCAGTACAAACTTCAGTATGACTAGATAGCGAATGAAGGGTTTGAAATCTCATTAGAAGTAGGATGGTACTTTAAAGCTTTTTACTTCACGAGGGTCGAAGACGCGAACCACTTGATGGTCTCAAATGCTTGAGACATTAATTGTACGTCATTTTTAATGAAGGCATTTCTGTGTTCCATGGTGAACACATGTTGTAATTTCTTCAATGATTTATGGCTATGTGATAAACTAGTGACCTCTTGTGGACAGGTACTTGGAGGGTTCTTACCATGGAACTCGGCCGAGTGAATACAGTGATGTTGGTCAAAGCAATTCAGCAGAAGCACATTGTAAGGAGTTAGGTGAAGAAATGGTTACTGCTGCAAAGAAAAAAAGCATCGCGCATGATACGCCAGATCTGAACCCTCCTACTACTGCGAAGAAGAAAAAAACTTTAGTAGTGGAAGATGAAATACAAGTTCAGCTTTCTGCTTCAATCCAGGATGCCGTCAATAGATGTGTTGAATTTGGCTCCTTGCCTCAAGATTTGGACCTTCCACAAGTAGTGGTACGAAAAGTAACTCATAAAACTCGTGGCAAGTTGAAAGAAATTGAAGGTCAACTAGATTACACCTCTAGCGTCGCTTTTGCTATTGCTGCAGGTGTGAAACGAAAAAGTAATATGGTAAACACTGAAGTGGAAGTAGAGTCCGGAGGCCAAGTGAACAGGTGGCAGCCATTTTCGTCAACACAGGAGTTTTCCCCATCTCTTGTTGCTGAAATTTTGGTTTCTCAATTGGGGAAAACTGGAGATCTGAGTGGGTATATTCCACAAGCTTGCAAAGGCCATCTCAACTTTCTCCTTCTTGGATGTGAAGCTCAGAGCAACTCACTCTCATCTGGGATGGATGCGTCTGTCACACCATCGTATAACCAAGGCTGCCCAGGTGATCTCCATGCAGAATGTGTTTCTTTGTGAAGCCATTACTTTTTTGTCGATCAGACTTGTACTTCAATGACATCAATTATTTCCAAATGTTTCTAGGTTTTTGCGATTTTAGTTAGATTTAAGTTTTCTTGAATTAGGTGTGTTATTACTTCATTACCATTTAAGAACTGTGCTGATTTCAAGCTTAGTTGTTTGTTGGATAATGCTCAACAGCTCATACTTTATGTGCTGTTTTTTGACATCTCAAAGATTTGTTGCGTTTCAGGTGCATCTGGAGAACGAACATCACAAGATACTGGTGACCAAGCAAGGAAACTCAAGTCTTCTTCGCTAACTCCCTCTCTTTCTTCCTCTCCAAATGTCTTACTACCTAGTATTCAAGATATAAATCCAAGTCCCTCTCCATCACTTCCTCTTCCTTCTGTTTCAAGTGTGAAACCACGTCGCATAGCAATCACAATCAAGCAGTCATCCTTTGATGCTGAAGAGTTCGCTCTTTACAAGAAGTATCAGGTCTGGTTTCTTTTGCATGACTCTGTCACAGTGTCACTATATCAGTGTACTCTTGTATTGTTTTCTTTACCTCTGTAAAATCACATGCATGCCATCGTTTGATCAGAAATTTTAAATGGGAACTTGTGGTTGAATCTTCACACTGTATTTTATTTTAAATCCGACAGTAAATTGGCATGCCACAATCTCACAAGTTTTGTTTTGAAAACAAATAATTTACAACGTGATTGATGGGATGGACCAGGTAGCTGTGCACAATGATAAACCAGAGGAGGTCCACGAAAGTTCTTACCGTAGATTTCTTGTGGATTCGCCGCTTATGTATGTTGCACCTGAGAATGACGGTTCGACTCCAAGCTGTGGATTTGGCTCTTTTCACCAGCAATACCGTATAGATGGAAAGTTGGTGGCTGTTGGAGTTGTCGACATACTGCCTTGTTGCCTGTCAAGCAAGTATTTGTTTTGGGACCCTGATTTGGCTTTTTTAGCTTTGGGCAAGTATTCTGCTCTACGGGAGATACAATGGGTTCAGGAGGCCAACAAGTTGTGCCCATCGCTCTCGTTTTATTATCTTGGATACTATATACACACCTGTCCAAAGATGCGGTACAAAGCTACGTATGCACCTTCAGAGCTTCTTTGTCCCTCGAAGTACATGTAAGTTACCTCAACTTAATCTTATTTTTTCTTATAAAAAGGTCTTGATTAATGTACTGCTCACCATACCATTACTTATGCATATTATGAAAACGTTGAGACTACGTAGAGCTGGTTCTGACTTTTCACACATTTGTGTATTCCGTGAAGTTTCTCCTCCGTTACCTTACTTCTGATGGTTCACGTTTGTATTGAATACAGATGGGTCCCTTTTGAAAAAGCACGTCTAGCTCTTGCCTGTTCTCAATACATGTGCCTCTCCAATTGCTCTTCCCCGAATGCCTCAGCTGCAGAGAACTCTGCTAAAAGAAGTGAAGGGGCAGAGAAAATGGAGGATTTCTTTGGAATCGAAGAAGATGATGAAATAAACAATGATGCATCAGAAGCTGACGATGATTACTGTGCTCCAACTAGCGAAGATCTCCTCAGCACCAAGCATGGTCTGCCCTTCGCTCATTCAGGTGGAAAAGATGAAAGTATGGAAAAGAACAAGGAGCGCACTCCGGGTTTAGGAAAAATAATTCTATTGTTGAACAACCAATGCCTTACATTCGAGGTGTGTAAGCTGAATAGTGGGCGAACAATTGCAATAGCTGCTGTGTTGCCTTCATTTTATTACTGTCGTCACTCAATTGTCTGTTTTGAGTTTTTTTCACTAGCATTTCTGACTTACGCCTTGCTTTATTACACTCTGGGTGTCACTACTGTGCAAGACTGTCCTGTTCAGCAATACTGTGACACTTGCTTGTTCGGGGAATTGTTTGTTTGGGTCGGCAGCGCTTGCTAGAGATGCGCGTGGTGCCAGCAGTGCGTATGGAAGCGTTGATTGAGGAGCTCATCTTGTACTTGAGCGGCGTGGGTCCAGACCTGGCTTCTCGCATGCTTTTGGTTCCAAGATGATTTAGGAAAGAAATGTAACACTTCGCCAAAGATCTATGGTAAAAAAAGCTGCAATTGGCAATTTATCCATTCTCTAGCTTTGTTTGCCGGACTGTTGTCTACGGGTTTACCTTGAGCCTTTCTTTTCTCAGATGTGTTCAAATGCTTTGATTGTTGTTTTTGTTGTTATGAAGAAGAGATCTCTTCACCCCGTCGCATGGCAGCGAACGGTAGCGAACACGTAAGCTGTCGCAGTTGGCCTTGCGAAGACGCCGCTATCTTTATGGGTTTGGAGGGTTTTGGCTACCGATTCCTATTTTTACTGGTGCTAACCCCATATTTCGACCCTGGTTGTGATCCTTTAGGATACGAGCCTTCAAAAGCGCATGAATAGCAAGCCGTGGCAAGCATTATCAGCTACAAACTTTGAAGCAGGGCATCTGTAAGCCTACTGCTATGATGCTACGAGGTTAGAGACTTATGTACCGCATTTTTAAAACTTTCTATTACTGAAGGTGTGCACATCTGACTCCAACAAACGGCAGTTTGAGCCGGAAGATATTTCAATGCCAACTAGACTGACAAACTACTGCGTTAGTTATCGAAGTGCCCCATCAAGCAAGAAAAAACGAAATACACTGCTTGCGATCATGTACCTCAGCCCTCAACTACATTACGCTTGTCATGATTGAAGCAGATCTGAATAGTCGGTGTTGAATAGAAATGGCTGACAGTTTCTCTTCCTTAAATTACTGAATCTGCTTACTAGTCTTGTCCTCCTTAGTTGGACTTCACCGATCCTGGCCTCACATTTAATCTACCGGTAAAATTACTGGGCTTTGAATTCCTTTGCTAGACTATGGACTGGTGTCTTCTTCACCTGATCATGGTTTCGAATTTCAGAAAAGCTGTGCCCTTAATAAAGAAAAGAGAAAGGACATACTACAGTTGGATGTTTTAGATGGGAGTTCCTCCAACACGCATGCTGTACAGGTTACCAGGAAAAAAGAAAAAAAGAAAAAGCAATAAAGTCAATGTCAAGAAACTTTGACATGTGGCAAGGAGATGAGTGCACTCTTTTACCAATTGGGTTTTCTTCATTCTTTTAGCAATCCTATGAGACACGTTGCTTGTATCACCTGGAACTACACAATGCTAAATGCATCAATGATTGGCCGTTCTCTTAACTCAGAATGTTCTCTTGGGCCTCCGCTTCACAGGGCAACATGCTGAATAGATTCCTTGACCTCGCATTCTCTACCTTTGAATAGACGATACATATCACCTCGGGAGGGAAATGCAGCAAATACTGCTGCATGTGTTGCGTCGTTCTACCTTACACTCAGGTGAAGACCATTGGTGTTAGTAGATTGTTGCCCTTTTCTTGCGATCTACTTCGGGGAATTCAAGTTTGCTTAAAGCCGAAGCTCACTTATGATTGATGACACCAGGTGATTTGCAGGACAGAGAAAAAGGATTCAGTGCTTATTGATGGCAGGTAGGCATGGGTGGCCCTGAGGCATATGGTCTCTTTTGAATGCACAAGTGGCAAGTGACAACGATGCAAACCCCAAGTGAACCAACAGCCAGCACTTGTCCCCACAAGTCACGATCCCCATCACCTCCTCCTTCTCCTTTCCTTCTTCTGACACACCATTCAAGGTCAATTGCTAAAAGCAAAGCATCCTTCAAAAGTCTGTCCAGCAACTCAGTTCAGTGATTCCAAGCAATTTGTCTGTCTGGATCGACAATAATCCAGAAGTAGTACCACCATGCCTCACTGAATCTTGACGCTTAAACCAACCTCAGCCACCAGCTCCCTACCAAGCTTGATGCCTTAGCATTGTAAACTTTGTGTTGCAGATGATGAACTTCGTATTGATACTCAATACTCTCCTTCCAAACTAAGTGTAGTGTCTCTATTTCATAAGAGGATGGAAATAGTTCTTGTGAACCCCAATGAGTATTTTGTTTTAAAGTTAGCTTTTGTGTAGAATTCACATGAACTTCAATTGATACTTCTTTGATTCAGATTCACTTTTTTTTATGAACAAAAGCCGGTACTATATTTAATGAGGTAAATGTATTTTTGAAGTAGGAGGAGAAAAGACATTTGTTTCTTGTTTATCTTGATGTGAAAGCTGTGTAGTTTTTGCCTAGGAAATACTATTTTTATTCCACCCATCTCTTTTCTATCCATAATGAGTTAGTATTTGGTCTTTTTACAATCTAATTTTAATCCTATCAAAATTCGCCCTGTGCACCCATTTTAAATAGAGAAAATATTTATTTACTCTTACTTTGTCATATTAGTTATTAAAAATACAAAAGAATCTTATCGTATATAATTTACATTTAACCGGTTAAAGTTCAAAGTCTTTCATCATGAAAAATATCATCGTTAATGTACTTGATAATACAAAATATATTTTTTTCTACTTTAATTTTTATTTTATCTATTTAATATATTTTTGTTGCATTTACAAGTAGGTGCCAGTTTGTTCTTCCCTTCTGTGGACCAATTATTGAACATTGGTTTTACAGATGCATCAATTCAATGAAGAATCTCTCTCTCTCTCTCTCTCTCTCTATATATATATATATATATATATATATAAATAATGTACAAAACCACACCTTATTTTCATGTTTTGATATATATATATATATATATATATATGTATATCAAATTTCCTTTTGTCAAGTGATTTGAGAACCTAAAATTACATCATATACATGTCTCAAATATTTTAAATAAAATTAAGAAAAGAAAGTCAAGAGCACAAGTTAAATAAATTAATTTTTTTCATGAGCAAAATTAACAACCATTAAATTAATGTAGAATTCTAAACAAAAGGAATGTTTTTTATTTTATTTTCAAACAAAAGAATTTGGTTTCAAAAACATCTAGCAGGTCCATAGAAGTAGATGTATATGATTGATTGATTGATTGAGTGAGTGAGGGAGTGAGTGATGGAACACAACCTGCATGAAGAAAGGACCCAGCTGCAAAATCATATGCCAGCACAGCACTGATGGACCCATAACCCCTCGTTCCCCACTGTCACAAGTCTCACTTACATCGGTCACCGGAGACCGTGGATCCCGCAGCTGCCCTTCATTCTCCCTTCATGCATACTCACTCTCGAATACTCTCACAAACTCTGCCACATAAGATGTATATATACATATTTATTTGTGAGAGAGAGAGAGAGAGGGAGAGGGAGAGAGCGACATTTGGTGCTGGTGCTGATGGAGGCATGGAAGAGGGCACAGTGTTGGAGCAGGCAATGCACACACTCCATTGCAAGGCTTCTTCTTCTTATTCTTCGTCGGCGCAGAGCCAATTCCAGCTGCCGCTTTCCTTCTCCACCTGGGATTTCTTTCACATGGACAAACGATCTTAGCGACGTGTGTGTGAAAGTATATATATATTTCTACAAGACACCCACACTTGCAGAGAGAGCATATTGAGAAATGCAGTGCAAATCCTGCGGCATGGGATGAACGATAACTAGAGAGCTGGCAGAAGTCTATTGTTAGGGGAAATCCTTTGGGCGCTGGCGATTTAATCGAGGACAGCGTTACTTGACTGTCCCAGCTGCAGTGGTGATTCGAGGCGTGATCACTCCCTCGTGCAAAAGTCATCCCCCTTTTGTTTGGTGTTGGTCAATATTTTATTTATTTAGTAATTTCATTCTGAAATCAGACCGGATCCTCGAGTATCTCAACACTTAGATCCTCCCGGTTTTGTTCGACATGGTGACGGGTGGACTGATGGCTCTGGAGGCTCGACTCTTGTACGTAGACTTGCAGATCTGACTGCTTGGCAACTACCATCTCCGTTTGTGAGGTTGGGTGGTTGGTTGGTTGGCTTCGTGGGCTGCCAATCCCTACAGATGAATGAATGCTATTCTGTTATAAGAAAAGGAGCCTGGCAGTTTGGGTGAGAGTTGTGGTTAATAGGCTGCGGCCCACCATCATACCGTGCCCAAGTCCCTTTTTCGTTCCTGCTGACAAACCACAATGAGGGCTCACACAATGAACTCTCTCTGATTTCTCAATGAGGAGCCCAATAAGAAAATTAGTTGGGTGATTGAGCAGTCTGGTGGTATATCAGACTGGTCCTGGAGAGATGGAAGGCAACAACTACGAAATTGGAAGAAGCTGAAGAAATAGAAGAAAAAAATCCTCAAACTTCCTCTCTTACCGAGGCTTTTCTTTGGTTAAATATTTAATGTTTTTTTTTTTATTAAAAACGATTAGAATGGTCCACTCTTACGTTTTTCGTCGAGGGGTATGACCAATTTCCACTTGGGATTCTTGTGGACGATTTTAAAAGTTTTATTCGATGATCATGTTAATAAATACAGTGTTCCTGGTGACTAAGAGTAAAAATAACGTTTGTAATGAAGGCTCTGCTGTGTCAATTTCAGCACCGTCGTGATGTTCCCATTCTCCAGAAGTAGCGGAGTGGACTTCTGACACCCACGATTGCACTGACGCAGTTACTTTGTGGTGTTGTGTTATCTAACCTGTTGAGCCATGTCGAAGGGGCTCTGTCTTTCGGCAACATGAGTACACAGAAATCGTGGTTTTGTTATACCCGGGGCAGGAAAAATGTGAGCAAAACACGGGCTATTGGGAAGAATTGGAGGGCAGGGATAAGGGCTAGAGGAGCCTGAGGGACCGGTTGGAAGTTGCCAAAGACTAGAGAAATAATCTTTTTCTGCGCCGCAGTATCCTGCTGCCGAGACACGTTTCGTGGAGTAAGGTGAGGGCCAAATCCGCAAGCAAGCGTATTCCCGTTCGACCCTTGCTCCCTATGAATTGATTCTGTAACGTGCCGTGGAAACCGCCCCTGCCCACCTCTGTGAACTTGCACTTCTCTAAGCTATGGCTAAAAAAAATCCGCATCTAGCCCAGAGGAGAGGTATGTTTGTACGCTGCAGGCCGCATGTCTAGCGTCCTTTGTCGGAAGAGGAAACACCCTGGGTGAGGGCTCTAGAAACTTTGAGAGCAGGAAGGAGGGAGGAGTTGAGCATGGTGAAGAGTGTCGGTGCTGCTGCTGAAGAAGTGCTAGCAGGTGAGAATTGGGTGTGAGGGGCCCCCGGAGTGGGAGTGTCAGGCGGGAAAGTGGGTGGAGTTCGCGGCGTGGGGTTTGCTTATTGTGATCTTTAACTGTTTTGTGGGTTGTTCTTGAGTTCTTGGCAGGGTTTGGTTGTTGAATTTTGAGTTTCTGTACGATTGGGTTCTGTCTGAACCCTAACGATTCTTGGTTTGTAAGATTCGTCGTTCCTCTAGGTACTGGTAGTATGTGAGCATGGTAGAATTAGAAGCTTTTTGATTGGTGCGTTTGATCTTCTCAGTGCCGTTCAAATATCGAGGTTTGGTCAGTTGCAAGGGATGTGATATCGCTGCTCTCTTAGGGCATTTCTAGGAGATGCGTTTTGGTTTCTTGAGGGATTTGGGATTAGGTTACCGTTTCGGTAGCGGCAATTACCAGACGCACATTGCAGCCTTGCCAAGGAACTTAGAGTGATGTTTTTTTCCGACACATCCTTACTTTCATCGCACCTAATTCGATGCTCCTCTATAGGTGACCTTTGACTACGGGCCGAACTTCTTATCTCTACCAATGCGCCACTGTAAGCGTGTCCGTGAGCACTGGGAGCTACTTCCTCTATGATCTTTGAGTTTGACTCCAGTTGTTTTGGAAGTTTCTCCTGAAGGCCTCCGCTGGAACTTTTTGTGAGACTGAACCACGGCTCTTGAATTAAACACACTCGTTCTTACCAACTTCATGTGCAGGTTTCGTGTATGGATGCGGCGTTGGAATCTACACATCTTTTGATGTTTAACATTGATGGAAAATTAATACAGAAAGAAATCAGAGTGTACTGTAGAACGGGTGCATGATAGCTCCTATATCTTCTCTATAAACGTGTTCTTCGAAGCATGGGTACGTAGGTGGCGACAGTTCCTTGCCGCGAGGTTTTAGCATGGTCCGTACTAATGAGGAGCGTATTGCCCCTTTATTTACTGCAGCTGTTTGTGGGCGTTGTCCATATCTGACTCGTACTTGACTGAGGCATGAAACTGACAATTTGAAATGAAGACCGTCTTGCAATCGATTCTCGGAAGAGGCTCTGGCTAATCGTTTTGTTTATTTTTATTCTTTCGCTTTTGTGTAGTCTCGATACCATTGACAATCCTCTACAACATGATTATACCTGGGAGTTGTCCCAAGCAAGATTTAATCCTATAAATTTTTTATTAGGTAGTCGATTTGAATCCTCTAAGTGCCTGAGACCTTTGTTAAGGTCCAAACAGATTTCTGGCTTTCAACTAGAGTACGTGACTTTCAGAACCCTGAAAATTTTCAGAATTATTTCTTTTTCTTTGACCCAGGTTTGAAGCGGTTCATTTGAAAGATCGAAGTTCTTATGCGCAGACAAAGCCAATTGATGGAACATGCAGGTGATTAATGTGCATCTAAGGTCATGGGGAATAAAATAACTCGCAGGCGTACTGTGATTGACGAGCGTTACACTCGTCCCCAGGGCTTATACCCTCATCGCGATGTGGATCAAAGAAAGCTCCGCCGTCTTATTCTTGAGTCCAAGCTCGCTCCTTGTTTTCCTGGTGCAGAGGAGCCCGCTACAGACCTCGAAGAATGCCCAATTTGCTTTCTGGTGCGTCTTGATCTTGGCGTTCGGAATTGTTAAACCCGGCAAATAAGAAGCTTCATACAATTTGCCTGTCATCTGTTCTAAGGGTTTTGTTGGTCTTTTCGGAGGCCTTCCATGAATATAGTTAGAGGATCAGGTTAAATAGTGTAATAGGTTATTGTTGAAGTAAATGAGCTGACGTGATAGGCTACTGGGGTGTTGATGGTTTCGGTAACAGCATTATCCAAGCGTGAACAGATCCAAGTGCTGCACAAAAGGAATATGTACTGGTACGTAATTGTCATAAGCAAACCGCTTACGTGCATGCGCTTAGAGCATCTGTAGTAATTTCGCCTCCTTTCCAGTATGCCTATTCTAATAAGCAAACTGGTTTGGCTGCAGAGTGTTTCCTGCAGATGAAATCTCCGCATGTTGCCCGGCCAACACAGTGAGTGATGTGTGCCCCCATGTTTGTTTCAAATCTTCGTTCAGCCAAGACGCACCTCTAGTTACAGTCATGTGCATTTTTAAAATTACACATTGTCTCAAACACTCTTCCCTTTTTAGTTTCAAAATAAATTGTTTTCGGCAAATCATGGTAGTTGCCCCGGAGTTCGTATATGTAGATCAATTGCACGAATTTGGTATTGACATTTGTTTTCGACTTTTAAGGTGCCCGTTTTGTAAGACTCCTCAATACGCTGTTGAGTATCGAGGAGCCAAGACGCTGGAGGAGAAGGGGATGGAGCAAGCGGTATTCATCTTCACTCTCATCTGACTTTGCTGGTTTTGTGGGCAGATGTGGGCATCGTGCATACATCTCGACGGATGAGGAGAATTATGAAGTTTTGCAGAAGCTTCATTGAAGTCCACTGACAGACTGCATCTGTCCATGCCCAATTGCAGGAGGAGCAAAAAGTCATAGAGGCAAAAATTCGCATGCGTCAACAGGAGCTTCTGGATGATGAAGAACGGGAGCAACGTAGGGAGGAGAATATCCGTGCGGGCCGAATCAGATTGCAGACACCTCGATCCCAACCTGTCACTAACAATGAGATTGCAAGTGCTCCTACGGATGAAATCAATTTTCTGGATTGGGGGTATGGTGATCGTCAGCCACAGGTGAAGTCTTCTGTTCGGTTTAAAAACTTTCGAACAAACTGTTTTATAAGAACGGAAATTCACCTGCGGACAAAGTATTAATATTGCTTGGACTTCAACCTTGGTTGCTGCTTTTCAAGTTCTAAATTTTATTGCTTTTTTATTTATCAGGTCCTTGAAACACTTGACTCTCGTGAGAGTAATGCTCCACGATTAAATCCCTACTTGTGGGTGGAGGGTGATTATCGGAGATCAGGAGGTTTTGATGCAGCTGCACCATCTCAACAATCAGCGGAACCAAACACCGTGCCTGCATTAAGCCAACAACAGCCTGAAATAGGTGTTCCGACTCTCCAGGCCCCTTCTGGTGCGATCAGAGCACGACACAGGTACACAAAGCTTCAAAACGTTTCTTAGAAAAGATTCTCAAGTATGAGACCAAATTGGATCATCTGGGACTTGTTCTGACGTTGATCTGTGGTTATGTCAGAGATGATGACTTTGATCTTGATCTCGAGGACATTATGGTAATGGAGGCAATATGGCTCTCTATTCAGGTTCGCTCATCCTTATATGATCTATTCCTTTGCTCCAATAGTTTCAACATAAGCCTTTATTTATGCCTTTTTCAATGCCAAGCAATAGTGATGTTGCGGGCTTGGTTGTTCTTTTCTGCATTCTGTGTCGTCGTAACATGTCTTCTCAACCTATCTTCTCGAAGTGTTTTCGTATGGATTTAAACTCGGCAAAATATACTGTTCAGGAGCAAGGAGCCCGACACAGATTTTCAGATGGAGAGGCAACTCGATCTGTGCCGAATAGACCAGCAGGGTTAGCATTGGAAAATAGTTTCAGCTCCGAATTAGACGGTACTAATACTCGAGCTCCACCTCCCCCAGCAGTACCTGAACCAGAATCTTGGCATCAGCATTCTGGTAGACAAGGCACAGCGGCGGTGGGCCTAGCTGGTGCTATTGCTGCGTTGGCAGAGCAACAGGCTGTCTCCCCTAATACAACACATGCCATTCATCCAACAGTTACGAGTTCACTCCAACCTTCACTCTCAGATGATCATAGCGTACCTGAGGTTTCTAACATTAATGAAGAACCCTTGGTAAGTACTGGAGATGCTCCGGCTTCGCAAGCACACGAGAGCTCCCAGCGTTCAGAGGAGTTACCTCAGAGTGGCAGAGAGAATGGGGTGCGGGAAATGCCCGTTGTGGTATCAACATCTGGAAGGGGCAAAAGTGATGCGGAGAACTCAAGTAGAGCATTTGAGAAACTGGCCAACTGGGTGAGCTCGACACAGAAAGAGTACAAAGGCTCCTCAGTGAACACATGGTTGGGTGATCAAAGTTCGGAACGGGTGGAGGTTGGTACCAGCTTCTCCAGTAGTGTACCTTCGGCCTCTGACTTGCCTTGGGAAGCGCCGGATATTCCATCCGATTCTCGGAATGGTGAAAGCAGTGGCGGTTTTAACAATGACAAGGTGCTGGTGCCGGATAGCTTTGAAGAGCAGATGATGTTGGCTATGGCGCTTTCTCTTGCTGATGCTCAAGCAAGGGTCCGCCATGGAGGCAACCATTCGGGTCCTCTTCCTCAGGCTACCCACTTCACTGATGCCCAAGCAAGGGTCCGTCAAGGTATCAGCCGCTCTGGTCCACTTCCTCGGCCCACGTACATTGGACAGTAATAATTAGATATCATTTGGATTCCTTCTTAAGATTTCTCCCTTGGATTCCAAATATATAAATTGTTACGTGTTTAGAGATCAGCACTTTGTTTAACCTCCCTTGAAATTTGGATGCCTAGTCTAGTGGATGCTATGTCCGGCATTCGAGGTTATCCTGCCTTGCAATTCATCATCTCGGTTCCTGTGGTATAGCATCAGGACAGTTCGATTTCTATTCAAGAGGTAAGTGCAAGGAGGGGATGATTCACGACCCAATGCATGATTTATTGTACCATCGCCCTATCATTCAAAGAATGCAAGGGCGACAAGTAGTACTCATTTTTAAGTATCTGATGACAGATACTTAATTTGTATAATATTAAACGCCGGGGTTTTTTCATCTCTGAACTAGATGTTCCTGAATATGCTCGTACAAAGGATTCGGAGTTCTTTGATTCGCAGCTTGTTCTCGCTTGACTGTAAGATGAATTATTTCTATTTGGCATTAGATGTAACGTTCTGGCTGGTAAATATTCACTTATCCCACATTAGCATTTTTCATTAAGTGCACTAAATAGAATTTAAATGTGCTGTAATTGGGTGAACACGAAAGATTGTATATGTACTCAGACCTAAGTCTGCGTACTCAACATCCTTTCATCAACAATTCCCACAATACATGCATGATAAATGAGTGAATCCTCACAAGGATATACAAAGACATTACCAACCAAATAGTAAACAAGAGAAACAAGATTCATTCTGCCAAAAAAGCATATCTGAAAAAAAAATGTAAATGTATATATTTATTCATTTAAAATTCCTATTACAGAAAGAAACGACAAGTCAAACAAACAACGTACTGTCCTGCAAAATGCAGCATGGCTAAACCCCAACGTCAACCACTGGAATTACTTGCTCCAATAAGAGGATGCAAGGCAGAATCACCAGAGTTGTGCTTGACAACCGAGACCCTCCTTCACAAACTCCACAGCAAACTCCTACACCCAACCAACCATTGCATAATCGTTCACACATTCCACCTCCACCACTCTCCCGCCTCAATCGCCTTCCTCGACTCACACCCATGCTCCAAAACACAAAGTGCAACGCAGCACAAGTATCCCTCGCCCAAAAATCTGCATCCTACATCATCATTCTCTCCTTCTTGCACCGTCCCAACCGAGCGACGTGAAGCTCCTACCTGCAGGTTGTCCCGGTTACGGCCTTTACTCTACACCAGCCCTCCACATCCACGGATCCTTTCCTCCGACCCCTGCCTAGCCCCTTGCGTTTCGTCTCCATCGTGCAATAAGATTATACCCCAGGGACCGCTGCCTCCTCTACCCATCTCTTCTCCTCGCGCTGGAGCTGGATCTCTCGTGCTCATGCATGCCACCTGTGGTGGTGCTGGTGCAGCTCGTGCTGACAATCGCTTGTCTTCCTCGTATCCTGCCCATCTCCGTGTCCCCCATCGCCTCACTGCGGCGGCGGCTGTTGCTGAGGAGGAGGCATCCCAGGCCGCGGCCCATACATCCCCGGGGGTGCACCGGGAGGAGGAGGCATCCCGGGTCTTGGAGGTCCCTGCATGCCGGGGGGCATTCCAGGTCGTGGAGGACCCCCGGGCCCTCCCATCCCTGGCGGAGGCCCGCGCATCATCGGAGGAGGACCCATCGGCCGCTGTCCATACGGACCTGCCATCCCTGGTCCAGACATCTGCGGAGGAGGTCCGGGAGGAGGCGGCATTGGTCTTCCTCCAGGAGGACCTTGCCCGTAGCCTTGAGGAGGCCCTTGTCCGGGGGGCCCTTGCATCATCTGCCCCGGAGGCCGCATCCCTGGAGGAGGTGCGCCTGGCGGCCCCGGCATTGGGCGGGGAGCGAATTGCCCTGGGGGTGGAGGCCCGAGAGGTCTCACTCCCGGCATCGGACCGGGCGGGGGTGTGTAAGTCACGGGAGCTGCCGAAACCTGAGGTCGCGGCTGCATCATCCCCGGGGCAGGCCCGCCCACTCCTCTCGCAGGCCCTGCCAGCCCTGGCTGAGCCTGGTTCAAAGGTGCAGTCGGGATTCCACGCCCTGCGGCACGCCCCACCCCGGGACCTCCCGCGGCAGCTGCGGCTGCTTTCGCCCTGGACTCGTCCGGTGGCGGGGGCCCCTCCACCGTCATCGAAATCACCTCCTCCCCGCGCAAAAGCAGCAGCCCCAACGTCCTCCTCTCTTCCCTCTCCTCCTGAGTTTTCCCCTTCTTCGGCGGCACGCGTCGCAGCTCCTCGCAATCACCCAGCACCAAGTTCATGTGGCGATCGAATGCCATGAACTTGCCAACCAGCTGCCGCCCGTCCTGTATCGTCACCCGCATACGCCAGTTTATGTACAGTAACAACTTGGACGTCTTGGATATCGACATCCTGACCGGATTTTCTCCGCACCCTGCCTCGCGTATTCTTCCCCACGCTCCCGCTGCCGACCTCCTCGAAGCACCCGATCGCGACTCCGACCCGCCAACCCCTCCACTGCAAACGCCGGAAAGCCTCAAAACCCTAATCAGCGGTTCCTCCAATACAACCAACAATGCCAGAAGACTCTGGCGCGGTCACGCCGCCACACAACGCAACCTCCAAGACATCAATCTACCGGGCAACCACGTTCAGGGGTCGCGCGACAGAAAGCGCCCATGCTCCGACTTCGCACACCGCCAAACAGCGCTGCAGGCGCAAGCCGAATTCAAGACGAGGTCCAGACCTAAACTGAGTGACCTGCTGGAGGCAGCCATGACGACGACTATGTTGGTGGTATCATCAGTCTCGGCAGTTTTAAGAGGGTCCTCGTCAGCTTGAACGATACATGATTGCATGGGGATTTGTAGCTGCACACTGCAACGGGAAATTCTCTGTTTCTAATGTGTTCGCCGATTTCCCTCCTCGAATCCTCCTCCCCGATCGAATGTCCCTCCCTCCCTCGTTTCTCCTCCTGCTCCTCCTGTTTGCTGTTGTGGCGGCCTCCGCGCTCTCCCCCCGCCCCCCGCGCTCTCCCATGCTCCCGCGCTTGAAGCAGGGTGGGCAGGGTGGGCAGGGAGAGCTTTGCCACGCAGACCTGCGGATGCTGGTTGTGGCTTCGTTTCTTTGGACAGCCACAGCAATTTTGGGGGGGTTCTGGTGACGACCCACTGTGTTCGATTGCGACCTGTGCAATATAAACAAGCAATTTTTAATTGATGATCGTTGGCCAGGATCCTTGACGAGTATTCTGTGTGCGATGATACCAAATTAATCCAATTTGAGCCTTCATTTCATTTAGGTCTAATTCTCAACTGGAGGATCCTACTGTTTAAGAATGAAATTATGAACAAGTGGGTGTGCACTCCACTTGGTGAGACGAGTATGTTCAGGAAAGTCTCTCACGTTCCCTTTTCAGATGAGGTCCATCCCAAGTTCAGGCTTTTGGAAGATTTATGTTGTCCTTCAGTTACATTATTAGATTATAAAAATGTGATTACTAAAATTTGCTAACATACCCCTTATAATTAACTTTAAACAAAGAAAAGAAACTTTAATGAAATATGTAATTTTCACTATGAATTAAGTAATAGTAGTATGTATGTATAAAATTATGTCAATTTCGTATTCGATACAATGTGTAATTTTAACAAGATTGTATCGCAATCACAGCGTTTATAAATATCAAAGTGAATTTTGCAACTACTCAAGAAAATTTCAAGAAATTTAGAAAAAAAGGTCGAGAGAGAAGTAACTTTTACTAACTTGTCGTTGTTTTTAATGACAAATTCCTTCTTGACCAGGTTCCATTACAGTGAGAACTGAATCTATATTTGTCGAACACATTAGAAACAGAGAATTTCCCGTTGCAGTGTGCAGCTACAAATCCCCATGCAATCATGTATCGTTCAAGCTGACGAGGACCCTCTTAAAACTGCCGAGACTGATGATACCACCAACATAGTCGTCGTCATGGCTGCCTCCAGCAGGTCACTCAGTTTAGGTCTGGACCTCGTCTTGAATTCGGCTTGCGCCTGCAGCGCTGTTTGGCGGTGTGCGAAGTCGGAGCATGGGCGCTTTCTGTCGCGCGACCCCTGAACGTGGTTGCCCGGTAGATTGATGTCTTGGAGGTTGCGTTGTGTGGCGGCGTGACCGCGCCAGAGTCTTCTGGCATTGTTGGTTGTATTGGAGGAACCGCTGATTAGGGTTTTGAGGCTTTCCGGCGTTTGCAGTGGAGGGGTTGGCGGGTCGGAGTCGCGATCGGGTGCTTCGAGGAGGTCGGCAGCGGGAGCGTGGGGAAGAATACGCGAGGCAGGGTGCGGAGAAAATCCGGTCAGGATGTCGATATCCAAGACGTCCAAGTTGTTACTGTACATAAACTGGCGTATGCGGGTGACGATACAGGACGGGCGGCAGCTGGTTGGCAAGTTCATGGCATTCGATCGCCACATGAACTTGGTGCTGGGTGATTGCGAGGAGCTGCGACGCGTGCCGCCGAAGAAGGGGAAAACTCAGGAGGAGAGGGAAGAGAGGAGGACGTTGGGGCTGCTGCTTTTGCGCGGGGAGGAGGTGATTTCGATGACGGTGGAGGGGCCCCCGCCACCGGACGAGTCCAGGGCGAAAGCAGCCGCAGCTGCCGCGGGAGGTCCCGGGGTGGGGCGTGCCGCAGGGCGTGGAATCCCGACTGCACCTTTGAACCAGGCTCAGCCAGGGCTGGCAGGGCCTGCGAGAGGAGTGGGCGGGCCTGCCCCGGGGATGATGCAGCCGCGACCTCAGGTTTCGGCAGCTCCCGTGACTTACACACCCCCGTCCGGTCCGATGCCGGGAGTGAGACCTCTCGGGCCTCCACCCCCAGGGCAATTCGCTCCCCGCCCAATGCCGGGGCCGCCAGGCGCACCTCCTCCAGGGATGCGGCCTCCAGGGCAGATGATGCAAGGGCCCCCCGGACAAGGGCCTCCTCAAGGCTACGGGCAAGGTCCTCCTGGAGGAAGACCAATGCCGCCTCCTCCCGGACCTCCTCCGCAGATGTCTGGACCAGGGATGGCAGGTCCGTATGGACAGCGGCCGATGGGTCCTCCTCCGATGATGCGCGGGCCTCCGCCAGGGATGGGAGGGCCCGGGGGTCCTCCACGACCTGGAATGCCCCCCGGCATGCAGGGACCTCCAAGACCCGGGATGCCTCCTCCTCCCGGTGCACCCCCGGGGATGTATGGGCCGCGGCCTGGGATGCCTCCTCCTCAGCAACAGCCGCCGCCGCAGTGAGGCGATGGGGGACACGGAGATGGGCAGGATACGAGGAAGACAAGCGATTGTCAGCACGAGCTGCACCAGCACCACCACAGGTGGCATGCATGAGCACGAGAGATCCAGCTCCAGCGCGAGGAGAAGAGATGGGTAGAGGAGGCAGCGGTCCCTGGGGTATAATCTTATTGCACGATGGAGACGAAACGCAAGGGGCTAGGCAGGGGTCGGAGGAAAGGATCCGTGGATGTGGAGGGCTGGTGTAGAGTAAAGGCCGTAACCGGGACAACCTGCAGGTAGGAGCTTCACGTCGCTCGGTTGGGACGGTGCAAGAAGGAGAGAATGATGATGTAGGATGCAGATTTTTGGGCGAGGGATACTTGTGCTGCGTTGCACTTTGTGTTTTGGAGCATGGGTGTGAGTCGAGGAAGGCGATTGAGGCGGGAGAGTGGTGGAGGTGGAATGTGTGAACGATTATGCAATGGTTGGTTGGGTGTAGGAGTTTGCTGTGGAGTTTGTGAAGGAGGGTCTCGGTTGTCAAGCACAACTCTGGTGATTCTGCCCGTGCCAGCGTGTAGTGCAGCAGACTGATTTTGAGTTTGATATACAGATTGCGTCCTGCTGCGCTTTGTTTCGGAACCTCATTTGTAAATCATTGGGTCTTTGGGACAACCCCTCGTCCTCTCTGCTGGCTTTATATTATTGTAAATGTGCTTTAATGGAAGGGACGTGAATTTGGCTTTGTGCACACCGAACCTGCAGGTTCTCTATTTTGTGGGGATTCGTGGGAAGAGATCTGAAGTATCAATCACTGCCTTTGCATAGAGGATTGGATATATTACTTGCGTCATTACGTTACATTTTCCTGAAGCTTGTTTTCGTGACAAGCTTATCTTTTTCCTGAATGGGTTGAAAATGAAGAGTTGTACGTTATTTTTTTTATCTTTTTTTTGTATGTTCAAGTTGCAGAGATGGGACTATATTAGTATACTTGATTATGTAAACCAATTCTAGTGGCCTTTTGTAGGGACTGTAATAGATCCTGTCTTCTTTGTAAGTCCCTTGACTTTTCAATCTGCATCTTCTTCAACTCTTCGTATAGGAAGGGTGATTGTTAGTGTCCAGGCATTTGGCAATCAGTGTTTTGCACTACAGTGATCACATTGGAAGGACTGCATACAACTTATAATTTGGTCTTCAAATATATGGAAGAAATTTTTGTGAACAGCAGGACTTAAATGCAGGATTGAAAAGAACTAGCAATGCCATAGAGGAGTAGATTTCTTGGAGGATGCAATGCATGGAAGTTACCATTTAAAGACTTTTACTACTTTTTTTGAAAAGTGTAACTAAGTGCAGTTTTTATCTCTTGGATATGTCACACACAAAGACCTACATTGGGAATAAACAAAGAATTAGATAAAGATCTGAATATTGATGCTACCAATTCACATAACATTTGTGAAATATTATGTATGATGAAGTTTGTGCAAATACTATACATTTTTTGTAATAGAGTTCTTAACTTCATTTGACAAAATTCAAAGACAAGAAATAATGTCAAGAGAAGGTTTATTTGAACAAAATCCAAGCCTACAATTGCACATGATATTAAATTTGCAATGATAGAATGATGCAATGAATTATGAGAAATAATTTGCATTGTTATCTTTATTAATTGATATTGATTTTTCAAAACACAAACATTGGATGTAATAGGAACTAATATTAATATTGTAGATATAAATGCCATAACAATCTATTAGGCAAATCTATATAAGTTCTTATCAACAATAATGATATGGTGCTTCTTCTAAAGAAATAGAATAATAAGAAATTCATTGCTTCTAATAAAGATAAAAAGGTAGATAAACCATAAATGCAAAAAAAAAGTAGATCCAACTTAGTAGATTGCATTTGCGTATTATATGTAAAACTAAACTATTATCTTGTTGCTAAGACAAGATATGAAAATGTCAAGCTCATTATTTACAAAGAAGTGATCATTCTTAATAGGAATAAAATTGACTTTAAGACAAGATTCATAAAGCACATATTATAAGAAATTAGAGCTTTTGTAAGAAACTTGATCTTAATAGACATGGTTTTTGCTAATATATATATAAGATCAATGTTAAATAAATAAAGATTGTTACATATAACACATTGAGTGTTACAAATCAATCACAAGGTATGTAATCTAAATCAAATACAAATATACAACCAACAAACTCTCAAGAGAAGATGATGGATCTAAATACCAATAAATCAAGCCATTTCTTGTACTACAAAAGGAGAATCTAAGAATGCAAGTATAAATAGAAGAAAATCTTCAAGCTTTTACTAATTGGCTAAATCACCATAGACAAATAAATCCGTACAATAAAATTTTTTCTCTCAAAAACCACTCACAAGACTTGATTTGATAAGAATGTCAAGTCAAGGAATTTTTCTACTTAAGTATTCAAATCCTAGTGTACATCAATAAGTGAAGTAATGGAAAAAGTTGAATGGACGAATAACTACAAAACTAAACTAAATCATATATATTTGATAGAATTGAGCACTCAATACCATATCATGTGACATCAATATAATAATCATACTTGTGCAATACAAAGAAGGTATGCTAATATTGACAAGGATTTTTTTTTTAATAGAAAATACATATAAAATACATATAATCTCACTTAAAAGGATTTGTATATGATAGACCTAAATAATGCCAAAAGTAGAAAAATATGAACACAAAAAAATCTAGATCTTATATTCTATTATTAAGATATTAGCACAAAGGCTAAAATAATCTTATTAGATAATATATTTTTAATATACATATTTAGATATTATTGTCAAAGACAAGAACTTGATGAATATAAATATATAAGTGAATATTTTAAAAAAAAAGATGAAAAAAAAATAAGAATATATATATATATATATATAGAAGAAAAAACTACAATGGCTATTGCTAAAAAAAAAAAAAAAAAAAAAAAAACTAGAGATCCTTGAAATTAGACTATAAGCAAGAAAGGAGTTGATAAGAGTGAAGAAGGCCTTATTCTTGTTTCTATATATACTATCTAATTAAGAGCTATGTGGCAACATTCTATATGACCTTCAATACATGTCTAACTCACATGACATATGTCTAACTTGTAAGATAAGCTTTACATGTACACCATATGTCCAACTTGTACCATAACTTACAAACATATATAACATATGGCTGATTTTTAGGCCAAATTTTAACTTATCAATTACCTATAGATACATATAAATGCAAAATTATGTCTATGAAGCTTTTAAAATACTATTCTATAAGATATCTTTAAATTTATTTATTTTTATCTATTTTTATTTATTTATATTATCTAAATAATTATTAGAATAAATATAGATGTCTATAACACTATCCCTTTTTTTAAAGACAAATTCCATAAAGAATGGTGATCACATGTTGAAAAAGTCTTAGATAAGTTAAATTATGTTTGTAACATATTTTAATCTTTATTTCCTTTGAAGGTAGTTGATAGGTCTTTTTAGCCATTGATAGTATTCTATATTAAGGCAAAAAGACCACTTTGATATTTAATCATTGTTGATGCCTTCATAACTTCTTTTAAACAAAATAATAGTAATACCATCTAGAATTATTGCTACTTCTAACAATATCACAAAATATCAAGAGTTTTTTTTAAGGTCATAATATCAAATGTATTGTATCTTATCATATATTTGAGGAATGATATATCATTCTTGAGGGCTTTCATTTTTATTGTCATCTTAAAGGTTGTGATAATTATAATGTCTTATCTGATAAATCAATAAACAACAATTCTTGAGTAGAATTTCTTAATTGTTGATTTGTTTGTTTTGTTTGTTTTGTTTGTTTGTTTGTTTGTTTGTTTTTTTTTTTATATTATATTTTTTATTTTTAAATTTTAGTGCTATAAATACAAAGAAACCATAATCAAAGATAGATGATATGATGCAATCCAATATCATTTTTTTATAGTAAGTAATTGTTTTATTTTTCATCTTTATTGTGATGGATATTGTTAATAAAAAGCTTTGACTTTTGCTACTATATTTATAATATTCTTAGCTAACTTCTATACACATTCATCAATATTATATCCGCACTAATAAAAAAGATATTTTAACCTAAGTCGATGGTGACTTAAGTCTAAGACTTCATCTACTACAAACTCTTGATAATTATGCACATCAATAGAAGGAGGTAGCATTTATCTTCTTTCTGAGATATTTATTATTTTATATGGCTTAAAGAGAGAAATATGGAATATGGAATGGATTTTTATAGACTTTGATAGGTATAATTTATATGCAATTAGATTAACTTATTCATAAATAAAAAATGATTAAAGTCTATGTATGAAGCAAAATAAATCCCTATTAGTGAAGAGTCTATTCTAATTCACAACAATGTAATTATTCCAATTTCTAATAAGTATCTATTACTATTTAATTAAGTATTCTACTATCCAAAAAATCTCAATTGTGATTAATATAAATCCCTCTAATATATATCTATTCTAATTAATCAATATCAACTAGCTTACAATTTAATTGATTAAGTTATTTCTTATTTTGTTTACTTTTCAATTCTCTACTAATTAAATCTCACTTTTGATTCCACGGTAGTAATACCACTTAAAGAACATCATAACTCCAACACAAGATAATCAAATAATTCAATTGACAACACACACTTGAAAGACAAATTTATATGTTTTAATTTAAGTCTATATAATTTTTGTTTTATCTTATTATTATTATTATTATTAATCTTTATTTTTTTTAGTATTAAATATCATTCCAAAATTCAAAATTCATTAAAAAAAAATTCCATTCATGAATAGATTTTCATCCATAAATAAGAATTCATCCAACCTTAGATCATTCTCATCTCTACTAATTCATCCATTCAAAATCCTAGGTTCATCTCCATTGATTTAAATTCATATAAAATAATTTTTTATTCACTAAATTTTTTTAACAATAAAACTTGGTAATCTTGCCTAGTCGTTGAAGTTATACTTGATCTTGGATTCTGACCATCCGGAGAATTGGGAGTGATTAAAGCTTGGGACGACTTTTGTTCTCCCTCAGTGCTGCCTCTAATGGTTTGCGGTCTTAAAGTCTAGTCGCTATGGTATTCTCTTGAAGAAGTCATTGCTGTTCTTTTGGGATTGATTCCAATGTTGTCTTTTGTTTCGAGCAGCCTCACTCCTCAATGCAGCATCTCCTTGAAGCGGGGAGTTGATGAAACTAACTATAATTGATGCTTTTCTTGCCTTGCTATTGCATATGCTCGGTAGCATGAACCCTCATGATCCTTCCAGTTTGAATGATACTAGCCGCAAGTTGGTTGCATGGCTCATCGAACAACAGCAAGATTGTAGAGAGGGAAAGTGCATTCCCTCTTTGATGTTTATTTATTCCAGCACGCTCTTCCAATGCACAGCTAGCAATCTACAACAAGATTGATAAATAGCAACAAGAATAAGAACCTCAACGTATCATTTACAGCCTACAAGAACAGTTCCTACAACATCTTCTGGATGTATTCTTGTGGGAGCACTTGGTCGTGAACAGCAACGACGGTTTGGTGAAAATTATATTGCCCATAATATGAACTGTATTGACTTGGTTTGCATGTCCAGCTGAAGTAAAAATGGAGACCACCAGGGCGTGACCTTATTGGGGAACTTCTTGAGTCAGCTGCAATCGAGAGGACTTTCCTTGCAGAGAAGAGTTGTAACTAGTTTTTAGTGCACCATGACAAAATCGTTCTTCTCAATGACTTGTGCCCAATTCTGGGTCACAAGATAATTTCAGCGAAGGCGCTGTGATAGTGATAATTACCGCCATTGCCTGCCACCTTCGACCAGCCGAAGAACATCACTAGGATGAGTGAATGAAGCAATGGTGACGAAGGCAGCATCAACAAGAGGAACAACAACCCCAAATCGATGGAGATCAATTGCTCCAAGGAATTAGAAAATGACACAAAAGGAAACGCCGCTAGGGAGAATCAAGGAAATAAATATACGACGAGGGATTGTCGCGAAATCTTGGAGGTTTAGGATCAGTGCATGAAGAATCAAAGGAACACTTCCAAAGACGAGTCGCTCTCACAATTGAAACAAAATAAAATAAAATAAAAAAAATAACAAGTTCTTCAGCCACCCGCACAACGACGTAGGCAAATGCAGCTCCACCATAGCATGAATATTGATGCTACCCTAGTCACAATACCCCAAAGAAACCAAACTTGCTCTAACATCGCTCCAGCAACACCAGAATTGATCCAATGCAGTCTTCAATTACCAGGTCAGTCGCAAAATACCAGCCACCACAACCGAGCACGATTCTGCTCCCAAGCAGCCCTCCCAAATGCAACACCACTGCACACGCCTAGTAGAGATAGAGAGCCGCAGACTCCGATTCATACGGAGCTCACCCTACACACCAATCGAAGGAAGAAAAAACAGTTTTGGAGCACTTGGAGCTCGTGAAGATGTGAAAAAAAACCAAAAAACAAGAGAGAGAGATCCAATGGCCGGACCCCTATCGACGAGGAGGCTACCACCATTCAGGGATAGCGTCTTGCTACCTTGGTCACTTTTTAACTTTTCTATTTATTATTTATTTATTTCTTTTATTTTCTTTTGACAATGAGGGTTATTCCTATTGGTCATCATTTAATGTTAACTACACAAAAACCTATTCATCATGGAAATTTGTCTTAATAAATTCTATCCTAGATTGCATATCTACTATGAGCAATCTAATTTCTATTTTTTCCTAAAAATTCTACAACTAACTCACAAAATCTGTGATTTTTAGCACAATAAGTGCACTTTCATAAAAAATTCTGAAGTGAGTCAATTCAATCACTTACATATGGGGACCATCTGGAACAATTAGAAGAGATAAAAAAATCCAAAATCTCTTGCTTCACAGGCAGGCCCTTATCTAAAGTTAGGTAGTTGGATTTATTATTCTATCAAGACTATACTAGTAGTGCTATAGAACCAAAGTAAAATTATTCATATAAAAGATCATGCTCAATATTAGTGCACTCATATCTTCTAGTGCTACTTTTCTTGAGTTAGAAGACTATTGAAGAAATTTGTCTACTTAATAAAATAAGGTGAGATAATTCTATGGAATAAGAAAAGAAACAAAAAAAGAAAAAGAAAAATATAATACTTCTATGTAAAAAGCTAAAAGTTGGTGCTATATAATTCTTATTATGAAAGAAGAATTTAAATTAGTAGCAATGAGACCTACATATCCTCTAAGTTGCACATATTGGCCACTTTCTTACTCTAATAGTAGCTCATATGGATAGCTGCATTTATGGACCAGATTTGAACCCAGGCCACTTCCTTCATAACCACTTTTGTGGCCAACCGCCCAACAATCCAAGGATGTTAATCAATTCCAAGTCATTTTTAAATCCTATAAAATAAAGTTTTTTTTTTTTTTTTTTTTTTTTTTTTTTTTTCCATAACCTTTAAAAGGGAAAAAAAGATGATATTCTAGTAGAACTAAGAACTTCATAAAAAATATTCTTATCTTTTTGATGAGTCAAGTTTCCTATTTTGTTGATAAAAATCAAGTTTGACTAAGTTGTTTAGCTAGATTCTTATTCCTTTATGTAAAGACAAAATATAGTATTTTTCTTTCTATAAGATAAATTATTCATACTTTATACATCTATTTCTAGATGTTCTTGTTGGAAATAGTTTACCATTTAGTATTTTCAATTGTAACAAGTTGTTATCAAACACTTTCTTAATATGATAAGGTGCTAACAAAATAGCATCAATTTTTTTAAAGAATTATATTTTCCTGGCATCTTATAATAGCACTAGCATCTTCGGTTGTAAGACTCTCTTCTTACGTTTTTTTTCTAATCAAAAGCATTTTTTCTCTTTTGTTGAATTGTTTCTATGTGTTGAGCTCCGATCCTTCAAATTTCATCAAGGCTTTCAATTGTTCTAATATATCCTTCAAGGGTTCTTAGATGGTTAATCTATCATCTATTGCTATTCTTAATGAATTGACTTCAAACTCTATTGGTAGTATAGCTTCTACTCCATATACTAAAGAAAATAGAATGGCCTTGGTTGTGACCTTGTAGGTTGTTTGGTAAGCCCACAAGGCTACTAGTAATTTTGTATCCCAATCTTTCTTTGAATCTTGTACTATCTTTCTTAGGATATTAACCTAGGATTGTTTTTCTCTTTCTATATAATCATTAGTTTGTAGATGGTAGGAAGTAGTCATATAATGGTTTATATTAAACTTATTAATTATCTCATCTATTATACTATTAAGTGTATTCTTCAATCACTAATTAAAATTTTGGAACAACCAAATTGAGTAATGATTTGCTCATACATAAAATAAGCTGCATGGATAGCATCATTGGTTTTGATAACTCTTGCTTCAATCCATTTCTTTAAATATTTTTTGGCTACTACAATGTGTTTTATCTCTCTTGAAGAATTGGAATAAACTTCTCTTATGTAATCAATCCCCTATTTTTCAAAGGAAATTAAAGGTAAAGATATGTGAAAAAGAAGTGCCATATGTAAATCATTTTTTACATAACATTAGCAAGCATTGCATTGTTTAACATAATCATGGGCATCTTGAAACATAGTAGGCTAATAATACCCAATTCTCATTACCTTTTGAGATGTTAGTCTATCTAAGAAGTGTCTCCTATATGCACTATCATGGTATGTTATTAATATGGCCGATACTTCATCAGCCACTATACATTGTTTGAATAAACCATCTATTCCTCAATGATATAACCATTTTTTTATAATAGCAAAATAAGTACTATTAATTCTAATCTTTTGACATTCATATTTGAACAATTCTTTTAGAAATTAATTAGAATTTAATTTTTTTGCAATATGGTTGTATTAAGTAGGATAGGCAAAAATATTAAAAAAGAATTTATCTACCAAGTTATCATCAATAGGAGTAGGACTTAATTTTCCTTCTAACCTTGAAAGATAATCAACTTGATTATATAATTTTCTAAGTTTGTATTCTACCTTGTAGTCAAATTTTCCTAGTAATAATATCCATCAAGTTATATGACCACTCAAATCTACTTTATTAACTAGGTATTTGATGGCCATATGGTTAACAAAAAATGAGACAAAATTTAATAAAAAGTAATGTCAAAATTTTTTCTCAGAAAAAACTATAGAGAAGCACTCTCTTTTGGTGGTATTATAATTTTATTTTGCCCCATTTAACTTCTTGCTAGCATATGTGATAGAATAAACTTTATGCCCACCTTTCGTTGATTGACATAATACACTATCTACTGCTGTAGATGAAACATCACAATAGATAGAAAAAGAAAGATTTCAATTAAGTGGTTTAAAAATAGGATAGGAGTTTGATGTCATTTTTATCCAATCAAAGGTATCTTGGCACTCTTTTTTCCATTTAAACTTAACCAATTTTTTTTTGAGATTGGTAATGGATGAAATTTTTGTAGCATAATTGGAAAATAATTCCCGATATTATCCAAGATGTTGTAAGATCCTTTCTACCTCCTTAACATTTATATGAGGTTGCATTTTAATTATGACTTATATTTTTTTTGGATCGGATTCTCTTCCTGCTTTAGACACCACATAATTCAACAAAACCTCCTTTTGGTCTGCAAAGTATATTTTATCAAGATTTAAAGAAATTTCCATTTTTCTACATCTTTCTAAGATTTCTTCTACACGTTTTAAATAATCTCTGGCATTGGATTGAGTGCTAAAATTATCTATAAAGACCTTCATAGATTTATAGAACAAATCCTCAAAAGCAAAGATTATGGCTCATTGGAAGGCAGAAGGGGCATTATAAAGCCCAAAAGACATGACAAAAAAAATAAAAATATCCCAAAGAGTGGCAAAAGCTATTTTATAGCAATCTTTTGGGGCTATGAAAATTTGATTATAATCTAAATATCTATCCATAAAAATATAGGTTTCACGACTTGCCACTTTATTTAAGACATTATTAATGAAAAGAAGGAAAAAATGGTCTTTTTGAGTGTGCTCATTGAATTTTTTATAATCTATGCATATCCTTAATTTAATATTCTTTTTCTTTTCAAGGACCATAGGAAAGATTCAATATGTTATTTCCGTTAGCTTTATAAAATCAGCTTATAACAATTTTTCTAACTCTCTTTTAATAATCAATTAGAATTAAGGGTTGATACGTCTTTCTTTTTATCTAACTATCTTAACATAAAGAATAAAGAGAATATGGTATTGAGCCACCTCAGGTGGTATATCCTTCAAATCCTTGTAAGACCATGCTAAAACGTCTCAAGTTTTCATGATTAATTCATGATATCTAGATGCCTCTTCTTGATTTAAATGAGCTCTAACTTTAATATTTTTGGACTCTTCTTCTTCATGAGAAACATCTATGAATTTCCATTTGGATTCTTGCACCAGAGATTGTTCCAAAGAATTTTTATATTAATCACTAGATATAAGGAGGTAGTTCATAATTCCATTGCTAACTAAAATTCTTGATGAAGTGTTTTGCAATCTAAGAGATAGTATTAAATTTTCATTTCTTTTAAAGACCTCAAATTCTTCTTCTAATATTCTATCTATTCTAACACTAATAGCATGGATTTCTTCAAATTTTATAATTTCTAACATATCTTCCAAAAAATTAACTGATTCATAAAAATCAAAATTAGAATCTCAATGATTGTTAAGTCATTGTTTAAATTATCTATTATCCTTCTAATGATATAGGTTGGAACCTAGGTATTTGATTTTCTTTGAATCTTTGTCAATTGAATTAACCACCTTTGTTAATTTGTTTTATCTTTTGGATTGTTGGGTATCTTCTAATGAATCAATGGAATTAATTTTTCTATGATCAAAGGTAGGTTATATAGAGGTTTTGATTCTATTCTTCTATAGATCAAAAGAAATGTGGAGCTTGTCTCTCCTCCAGTTAACTATGGCTTCTGAATTCCTCAACCGTGGTCTACTAAGTATTAAAAGAAAAAAATCCTTTGACATATTATCAAAGACAAGAGCATAATAAAGACAAATAAATAAGTGAGACTTTTTTCAAAGAAAGATGACAAAATAGAAATAACTTGATATGTATATTAAAAAAGAAATTAGAATGGCTATTGCCAAAAGATAAGAAAACTAGAGATCTTTGAAACTAGACTGGAAGTAAGAAAGGAATTGACAAGAGTGAAGAAGACTTCACTCTTGTCTCTATATATACTATCTAATTAAGGGCTATGTGGCGACGTTCTATAGGACCTCCAATATGTGTTGACTTTGTAAGATACATGCTTTGACTTATAAGGCAAGTTTTTCTATGTGTGGGCCACATAATTAGCTTGGTCTCCAAGCTAACAACATGTGTGGCACATGGCCGACTTGTTGACCACGTTTCTAATCCCAAAAAGTCAATTAAAGATACCTATAAAGTCAAAGCAATATCTA